AGGCCGTTTTACACGGTAATTAACGGCCCTGGCACACCCACGACTCATTAAGCCTGACCAGCTTCGATGTCAATTTGCCGGCTCGTTGCTCGCGGAACACGTGCACTTGGATCTCTAGCTACATTCGATAAACTTGTTTCCACATTGCGAGCTAATATTTCGGATAAATTACCAGAGGATTTGCAAGGGTGAGTTTGAATTTAATTCAAGGATGAAGCATTTTCAGTTCAGTTAGCATTTTCTTTTCAGTTGTTAGCATTTTCAGATCAGTTTGAACATTCAGTGCTTCATTGTGTATTCATTGAATACACGAATACACATGTATTCATTGGACATTTTACATCTTACCGAGATCTTCCTCCAGTCATCCTTAGATCTTCCTCCAGTCGGCTTTATCGATCCTCTTCCATTAGCAGCAGAAACTATTCAGCTCCCCTCTCGAAGTGGGCAATCAAATTCGGTCCGATCGATCATTTACCATATCGAATGCAACTCGTTCGAAATTGTTATTAATGAACGAGAATGAAGACGGAGGATGGGGGTATAGATTCGGATTTAGAGATCGATTCATCATTGAATATCAGCGTATCGCCAAATTGCTCGGGCTAATGGTTTCCGATCGTCCGAGAAAGTTTAATCGATTCTCGGACGAGTCGGTCGCTCGCAGGGGGTGGCTCGTTCCTTTCGAGACGCGGTATTTAATTAAGCCTGGCGTTTCGGATTTTTACGAGTTGCCTTGCCGCGGATCAAAGGATCCGAAGTGTCGAAACTCGCAGCGTGCTGCCAAACCGGTTCACTTGCTTTCTTTTTTCTTTCATCGGCTTTAATTAAACGTCCTTAGATCTCCTTTCTTCTATGGAACGTTATTACACGCTGTAGTTATTTCGTTTCATTTGTGGGGCAGTAAATAATAATTTTAACTTTTACTAATTTTAACAGCCCTGACGCACCTATGACGCACCCCTTCTCTTGTCTGACGCACTCTTTATTTATGCCTGACACACCTCTGACGCACCATTGACGCACCCGTAACTCATCTATGACGCACACTTGATGCACCCATAACTCATTCATGACGCACCCCTACTCTTGCCTGACGCACCCTTTATTTATGCCTGACACACCTCTGACGCACTCGTAACTCATCTATGACGCACACCTGATGCACCCATAACTCATCCACGACGCACCTATGACGCACCCTTACTCTTGCCTGACGCACCCTTTATTTATGCCTAACACACCTCTGACGCACTCGTAACTCATCTATGACGCACACCTGATGCACCCATAACTCATCCACGACGCACCTATGACGCACCCTTACTCTTGCCCGACGCACCCTTACTCTTGCCTGACGCACCCTTACTCTTGCCTGACGCACCCTGACTCTTGCCTGACGCACCCACGACACATCCCTAACTCATCTATGACGCACTCGCGACACACCATTAATACATCTTTGACACACTTGTGACGCACCCTTAACACATCTTTGACGCACTCGTGATGCATTCACAACGCACTCTTACTCTTACCTGACGCATTCACGACGCACTCATCTGCGATGCACCCATGACGCACTCCTAACTTATCCACGACGCACATACGACGCACTCATCCTTCACATACCCTTAAGTTTAGAGTTCAATTAAAATTTCACGGTCCAAGATAGTATAAAATGAACGAAGTAAACAGAAACTGTAGTTTCCAAGTTAAAAGAAGGAAAGCATTACCCCTTCCTTGTTCGAGGCTTTCTAATATATATGCAGATTACGTACAAGGTGTTGAAATTTAACGCGAACGGTGGATGTAACGCTTTAATTCGACGCAACGGTCGATAAATATCGCAAACGAGATCCGCGGTTGTGGCCATGAAACAATTTTTCCCTCGGCGGTTCCGAAGTCGGCGAAAGTTCCCTTGGCAAATTTCAAATTAGTTTCGAGTCGGTCGGTATAAATGATTCATGCGTCCCGGTTCTCGCCTGGACTTAATACGTATGCAAATCGGTAGCGCTTCGAATTTCCACGGAAGAGAGCTTCCGAGCTCTCGGTTGTTCCACGTTTACCTGGCCGCCCGAATCCGGGGTTGAGGCTTATTCATAGTCCGGGAGGCACGCGTAAAGTGGAATGAACGAGGGGGATACGCGTCGGAATTTCGATGTATGAGCGGCTCGGGATACGCGATTAAATTTCGTTAGGGAACTGGGGACTTCGCGCAGAAAATTTCGATCTTCAAGCTTGTGATGATTTAGAGGAACGTATGGAAACTTTGGTCGAAAGCGTCTGTTCATATAATGTTAAGACACAAACAATTAAAAGTACTTTAAGTACTTAAAAGTACTGCAAGCACTTTATATTATATGATACTTGGCTACACATAACTGGACATAAACTACAAGTTGGGTATTCAAAATTTGAGTGAGATCATTGTGATTTCATCACAAATGATCAGATTTGTCATCTGACGTTGTGAGTCTGGGTGAAATAGTTCTCCCTGTGAGATGTCTTGCCTAATCACCAAAATCTGGTCGCAGGGATTCGCCGTAGAGTTAAATTGAATTCTCAGAACGTTATCAGCAACGCATCTGCAGAATACTCCTCCTATCGATGCAAATCGTTATTTAGCGAGTTCCGTATTGTCGCAAGGAGTATCGTTCCGGTTCACGCGGAAGATACGATCTGGTCTCGCGTATACGAAGGCGCATCATCGTTTCTGGCCGGCCAGCGAATGGCTAGTACGCCATTAAGCTGGAATTCAGGTGTATTAACGATGCCGGCAGGTACGTATCGAGCTATCCCGGCCACCCGGTAGCGCTAATGGCACGACGGAACCGTTCGTTAGAGAGATTTTATTTCGCCTATCTTGCCTATGTACAATCGTTTATGCGCTCTCTGTCAGCGGGGACTCCCTACGGCATCGCCATCCGGGAAAACGGCTGCCCGCGATTGCGTTTCGATGTCAGCCACTTTGCTCACGATAAGATACTGATTTTTCCCAGCGTACCGAATTCATTGCCCCTTTATCGATGGTTATTTTAATGGGTAGACAAGGTAATAGGGGGTAATTATCGGACGGTGTTCAACGTTCGCGGAAATGCAGGTGGTTTTTCAACGCTGTAGCTATTTGCGGAGGAAGGTTATTTAACGCTGGATGTATGAAAATGGTCGAATGGCATTTTCATAAGTTTCGAAATATAAGACACTTGCGTTATTGTAACAAGTCTGAGTCGTGGTGCATCTAGGACGCACTCGTGACGCATGCTTAACTCATTCATGACGCACTCACGACGCATCCCTACTCGCCGTTGACGTAACGCACCTGTGACGCACCCCTGACGCATTTAAGATGGACTTGACGCATTCGTGACGCACCCAGGGTAGACTTGACGCACCCGCGACGCACCCAAGGCGGACATGACGCACTCGTGACGCACCCAAGATGGGCATGACGCACTCGTGACGCACCCAAGGCGGACTTGACGCACTC